TTTTCATGTAAATTTTGGTACCTTTTTTGGCCTTCAGAAAGCCGCTAATCAAAAGTGAACTCCAGTTTTGTAGTCCACTTGAGTGCCCGTACAGCATACAAAAACAAAAACCCATTTGTGAAAAAGTTTCACCCTCAACGGCCTTCTTGTAGGAGGAGATACCTAAAATGCGTGAGCATTTCAATTTGCTTAACTCGAATGCTTTATCCTCTACATATCTTACTGGCCTTCACCTACATAGCCTACAGCTTAGAATGTCGACGGTGTTACTGAACCCTGTTCCCACGTTCAACTCACAAGCTCCCTTTCCCCCCCCCCCCAATGTCAAAAGAGATGCGAAGCCAAAAATAATAAAATTTTCAGTTTCTCACTCCTCTTCCCATCTATTCCAGTTCTTTGTTGTACCTTATTTACCGAATAGTGTTCCAAAATTGCAGAACACGATCCTCTCGATTCGGCCAGACGTATAGTTCACTGCGATTACGTTGCACACATTTTGACGAACGATCAAATTACACTGATAATGCGTGTAGATAAAATACCGCCGTGCGAAAAATCAAAGGTTGCGAGCGAATACCGATGAACGATTGACGTTGGCTAAAGTACATAAATATGTACATACATAGCTTCGCTGCGATGGCTATTATGAGGATAGTTCTTGAGTTGAATCCCGGCGTAAGTTTTCCCGATCCAACCAATTTCATCCTTCCGGGTGGACGGCCGGTGCAAATTTATTTAGGCAAAAATCACTGACATGGGAAGGTCTTCCTTCCCTCGCCGAGCCATTGTATTTAAGCAGCATTCCAAAGCCGTAATGATTTTGAATTCAAGTGGAACCCTTGACGGATTCTAGAAAAATATTCATCAGTACTGAATGCGTTACCAGACATCCCTCATAATTAGCCGGGTTTGACTGAATTTCTTATAAAAAGTGGTCCACAATTATTCGCTGGTATTCGTGCAAAAAAAATCGTTATTTGACGTCTCACATCAGCAGATGATATCCTTGGCAATCCACAGTTCAAGGGCAGTCAAAGATGAGGCGTACTGGAGAGAATTGGGGGGGGGGAGCGTGGGCCCCTTTGGGCAATAGTTCGTGTCGACTGAAAGTCTCCCCAAAAAACAAACCTGATTTGATCTCACTGAATGCTTCATTCAGGCCACATATCTTGGGCTGCTTTCCTTGGACAGGGAACGCTATTTCGTTGCTTATCGGCCAACGCCGTCAACGCTCTGCAACGAGACGTTCATACAATGCAGAAGAAATGAATATCAACAAAAATGGCAAAGTAATCGAACCTTATGGCATTGAATAAATTGGTGCCAAACTCTTTTGTTCCCCTCTCCCTTCCCCTTATGTATGACACAGAGTGGAAAACAATTTCAGATTTAGTTTTCGTTTGCTGAGGGCCGCGGATAAGGCTAGCGACGACCTCTGTTATCCCCATCTATTTGAATAAAATTTGAGAAAATGAGAAAAAAGTTTTAACATATGTAAAGTATTTATTGGACAGCAGCAGTCAATGTTTGGATAATAATAATATTATAATAAATAATAATATGGTAATATATAAACATATCCATAGGATATCGACGCGAGGCAGGAAATCTCTCCACGTTGACTCTGTTATACTTTTTTTCTTTTTATTTTTCTTTTTTTCATTACTACTTTGGTTTCTCTACACAAAGTGCAGTAGTAATCACAGAGACCTAGCGATCGTATACCTGCAG